CGCTTTGGACCGAGCAAGATGGCTAAAGTGGTAATGTTTTTAACTTTATTCGGAAGGTGTCCGGCTCGAAGCTTAGCCAGGAAGTCGTAAAATATATTTAAAGATGTTTCTCGTGGGTTATATCAGTCCCTCAATGAATGAGCCAGAACAGTATATGAAACTGGGTCATAACCGTTTCCGCCCACAAGCTTCCCTCATTGTTCAGCATCATTCAGTTAATCGATGGTCTATAGTCTGCATTACAGACAGCGTCGTTAAATAATCTATATAGAAACGCATACTCGTATATGTATCACATTGAAAATTCTGGATTAACACGTTTTTCGAAAGTCAATTTTTTCATATTCCCACATACAAAGCTCATGCGTCCATTTCCCAAGCCTGTCGCCATATATTTCTATTCGGAATAACTTATTGCTGTTACTTCAGCTTGTACTTTCAGAGTCGCACTATTTATTACGTGAAATGTGGGCTTCTGTTACAAACTACCTTGGTCTCCACCGCAACCATTGTCTGGGATGAAGAATGGATGCACCGCTACAGGTACAGGTACGAGGTTTAACGGCAAACATGATCTAGGTAGAACTTCTGTTGACAGACAATATCTATGTACTATGTTTTCAAAAAGACTGCCAAGGCTGTTTATACCAGGATTTTTAAGGTGGTATAAATATAAGTTGATAACTTTGGTTCAATATCAGACGCTTCTTAGTCGTTCATAGCAGCTTGAATCAAGAGTTGAAGCAGAATTCTCTTCACATGATCATGAAGGCTTTCGTAAGTACTATACTGTGTCATTCTCAAGTTAAATTTAATATTTTATGTTGCTAAGAAGTAAGATTATTTTATATTGTAAATTACTTAACATCGATGAATGTATGAATGAACGTATAAGGGGTGAGCCTTCTCGGCCCTTGCACTGCGACCTAGTGATCTATTAGAGATCGACAAAGTCCAAAGTGATTTTACATACGGATATTCATTAAAGCTACCTTAGTATTTGGAGAGTTATTTAACAAATTTAGGAAATACATGCAGAGCGTAACAATTCATATGTGTTCCCTGACATTGCCTTTAGATTTTAAATGTTCGAATGTTAACGTCTGATGCTATGTTAATAAATAACGTATATTATTTTAAATAAAACACTAATAAATGTGAATATTTTAGTTGCTTCACACCACAAATATATTAGAGCTGATATTATGTGAACTACAAATACACAAAAAAGTGCTGGGTAATCATCGGTTGTGTACGGAAGACTAGTGCTTTCGAATGTCCCTATGTAGTTCAGAAACGTACGCACTGTGTACCAAATTCTGTGGCTTTTTATACCTTGATCTCGAAAACACATGAGAAAATTCTACTTAATACAAAGCACGATTCATTGGTAACTACAACTTTCTTTTCAAAATATTTTTCGATTCGACAAACATTTAAGGAGCTGTGCTCGACATACACTCAAAGTGCAAACTACCCGTTATTTCTGCCCAATTCTAACCAAAAATTCGCATGCCTCAGCGTCTTTTTAGAAAACTCTCAGATGTCAAATTCCGTTAAATCTTTCAATAAACAATTATACATTTGCTACGCGTGAACAGGCAAATATGAATAAACCAATAGTCACATTTCTTAACATTTCACTGATATTATGAAACATAAATAATGTACAGAGCATCCGCAGTTTCTGAGCAACAGCTTTCATTCACAGCACATATGGAATAATATCTGGCCCTGTCTCTTCCAGATCGTCCTTATCCTTGCCATCTTCGCCATGGTTGCTGTCTCAGCCCTAGAAGCCAACAAGGAGAATCTCCAGGGCTCCGAAGCCGTCTACTTTGGATCTCCTTATGGTGGCTATGGTGCTTATGGGGCATACCCCTATACCTCTTTTGCAGGCTACCCCTCTGCTGTTCATGGTTATCCCAATGTGGCAGCTGGATATCATGCAGCCTTTCCTTTCTACCGCTGAGCACCACTCCAAAGCCCTGACCATATCTACAACGGCACTGCTATGATAACTGGACAATTCATAATTAATAAACTAAAATTGGCCACAATTTCTCAATAACAAATTGTGGATGTAACATTTAGAGATTTTGAATGTTATTTTTTATTTTACTTTACCTTTTATGCTCATAAATGACCTAATAATTAAATGCTCTAAATAACTATATCTCTTTGTACTTTTTATCCCAACATTCCTTTCTTCCATCGTCGTGGTAACATATTATTTATTTTCTTTACAATAATATATATTGTTTAGGACCACAAATGTATTTTCATACAGTACTCATAAAATAAACTCAATGTCAATAATAAAAATAATATCAGAATACTTATGGATTCCCACTCTTTCATTCCAGAAATTTCATTAACTATTCAACGAAATAATACTGCGCATCTATCGTCTTTCTATACCATACATAGATTTAACAAATAAACTGACTGCACGAAAGAGAGCACGGTGGTAGAATTTTAGTGGTAAGAGGAATTCAGTCCCTCTCTTATCTGAACTACCTGGCTCACAAATAATACACTTCTCAATCATTATCAGCTAGAAATAAAATTGGATTATAGGAAGAACATTTATACACATATTACCACTTAATTACTGTTCTTGGTTTCAACCTTGACAAAAATTAGGCATGTATTATAATTAATGAATATAACAGTGATACAAAGCCTATAAATTATGAATGAAAGGTTAAAATATTTCAGTACCATACTAACGAAAATTTTAGTAAAGGCACATCATAAAATTTATAATTTAACTTTAAATTATACAGAACTTTATACAAATGGAGTCATTTCTGAATACAGTATAGGTCTGAATGTTAAATAATAGCAAAAAATTACATTTACAGTAACTTAAATAAAACTGGAGAGGTTTTTCTGTCACACAAACAAATGATTTTATTACTTCATTCACATGTTTCGGCTCACAGTGGCCATCATCAGTTGATATGTCAGAAGTATTTCATTCTATTATGAACTATGGATTAATATTTTGGGGGAACTCTTCACATAGTGTAATAATTTTTAAAATACAAAACAATATAATTAGAATCATTATAGGATGTAGAAGTAGAGATTCATGTAGAGAATTATTTAAGAAATTAAAAATTCTACCTCTTCAATCGCAATACATATTATCGCTTCTCTTATTTGTTGTTTACAACAAAGATAAATTCAAATTAAATTCTGATGTCTATAACATGAATACTAGACAAAAATATAACTTCCACCTACCCTCATCAACTTTATCAGTATATCAAAAAGGAGTCTACTTTACTGGCATAAAAGTGTTCAACAATCTGCCACAAAGTATTAAAAACTTGGGCAATGATACTAAAAAGTTTAAATCAGAGTTAAAGAATTATCTACATGCTCATTCCTTCTACTCTTTAGATGAATACTTCAATGTAAATAGAGAATGATGTAAAATTAAGTTATATTAATTTTTAAGCTAAAATTGCCTGTACTTATGTATGTAACCTTTTGACTTGTTCTGTATCCAAAGGTACTAACCTGCTTAGGATTTATAGAATGTAAATAAATTCAATTCAGTTCAATTCAAAGTATATAAATGGTGATGGAATTATGTAAAATTTAAACTAAAATTTGTTAGTTAAATTTAGTCAAATCAATATATTCTTCCGAAATATAGGAGAACTTCAACTGGCATGCATTATAGCCCAGAAAATAGTGCTCATCAGATATCATTCTCATATTAAATATTTAAAAGAATACTTTTCTTTTTCCACTATGGTTATTTAAAAAAATGATAATCATTCACACATTCCAGACCTATGTATTACAAGCTTATTACGATTTTAAAGTGGATGATGGCATTATTCCCTGTAAGAAGGCCTTGACTGTGTGCCTAGTTTTATTTATTCCTATATTAAAAGTTTGTAGTTCTGGTTTAAATACCACTGTAACATGATAAAGATACCAGAAATAATAGAGCAACAGTGATACAAGGCATCCAATATAACCCACAAGTCGCATTTATAAATCCAAGGTTATAAATGCATTCCTGAACCAAATGTAAGTTTATGATGTTAATTCATAGCCTACTCAGTGGCTTTATATCTACTATGATTATTGGACTGGAATCCCCATCATTTCAAAGACATACTCAACATGTCTGGAGAGACAGAGCAAAAGCTTGTAAGTTAGGTTAAACTCAGGAAAGAGGAAGGACAGTCAAAAGCAAGAATGTAACACTGAACATTACATTACATTGCATTGCATTCCACGGATCTGTAGTTAGTCAAAATGACTGTAGGAAGTGGAATATGTTATATAAATACAAAACATATGTACAGTCCCAATGGAGTTCTCACACAAGAGAAACCAAGAATACACAGTGAAGTACAATTGTAAAATATTTTACAATTACTGACTTTCTAGACATGGTCCAGCATCCTGTTTTATTTACAATATTTTGCAGTAAAAACTGAAGTGCTGCTTGTTTTAGCTGGTACTTTTCCTAGCAGTCTTCAGTTGAATTAGTGTTAATCTATCTAAGACAAATCAAAATTTTGGTTGCCACCAGTAAATGTCATTAACAATTTTTAATGACAAATGCAAAAATAATGTGCAAAGCACACATTTGCTGAACATAATGACATAACTAAAACCACGGAGTCAAGTCCTTGAGAAGCCACCCAAGAATTTCTCAACATTTTACGGAATCCATAACGTTCATTACCATGTTCACAAGAGCCCTGTATTGGTCCCTATCCTTAGCCAGATCAATCAAATTGCTGCATAGGGAGTATGGAAATATTTTATGTAGTGTAGCCCCCTATCCAGTGGGTACAGCTACTCACTGGCCAAGCAGCCAGAGCATAAAGCTATCCTCCCACTTCCCCATACATCATTCATGGCAGAGTGCTTACCTGAGCGCAGGGACAACTTTATCTCATTTTACTTTCTCTTTTTTATATAGGTTATAACAAAATTATTTTTTTAATTTCATAAAATATTATTTGCTTCACAAAATGCTTTTTTCTAGTCTTCTTTCTTCCACTACTAGATACGTACTCATGTAAGTTATTCTTAGTACAGAAAATAATATAAGACCATTATCTGTGAAGTTTTTGGTCTGGGGGGGGCAGAACCAGAAACAAGGAGACAAGACTACTGTACGCTATTATTATATATCACTGCACGGAATTACCACATATCATCTTGTGTACCAAGGTCGAGGAGGTATCAAGTAGTAGGCCGACTTCAAGGCCATTCCCTTGGTTTTTTACTTCAGATCAGGTGGCTTAATGATCAATGGACATACATACCTGGACACAATGGGAGGATCAAAGTCTTATTTACATATGCAGTGAGGCACATGTGTAAGCTGAAACACATAAAAAAGTGCACATATGCTACAAGTTAACATGTTGGTTACTATGTGACACAGTATACCTGTCACATGTCCACCAAGGGGCACACACCAGAAACCAATTCAAATAAATAAATTACACACTGGCTTGCCACATAGAGTCATATTACAAACATGGACTATACTAACGATCCACACTTTGGATGGCACACGGCACTCTTAAATTACATGGTGGCAACCGATGTGTTATAACAACCCACAACCAGTTCCTCCACTAAGTCAAATTCATAATCATGTCATAGGTCTTTATTTAATGCAATATAATCTCTTCCACTTCCATGGTTTTAAACAAAATGAAAACCAATCTCTGAAGTCCGGGACAGGTAGCGAGTAGTCCACATGTACTAAGCCACACTTTCCATTCATAAAATTAAATAGTAGTAATGAAATCATAAGAGCACTCATCAATTTCAGTTGAATCAAAAATAATGAATAGCTTTCCAAATTTGCCCTCAAGCAACAATGGCTGTGAACCACATTTCTACAACAGTCTCTTTTTATGACTCTGTTAAAGGCAAAACAAGTAGCTGGTAAAAACAGACATGACATAAATGTTCTTATAAATCCATTTACATTTCCCAGCATCTGACCTTACCAAATCAGTTAATGATTGTGGGAAATGCCCAAACTCAAAGTTCAATGTTACAAATTACTATTTACTCTATACAAACCAAGCAACAAACTTAAACACATGTATCACTATAAGAACAGATACCTTCCAATAACATGACATAACCAGTATAAAATACATGGAACACTCCCAGCACTGATGTAACATACTCTGTGTCATTAAGTCAGGAGTCTAAATAGCTGAATCCAAGGCCACAGCCTTGTTAACATTCATATCACTCCAGGGAAGTTGCCACATCCTTCATTCTAGACTTAAAAAAAAACAAAACTACAGCTTCAGTTGGAATCCGGATAGATCAGTCAGTATATCGATGGACTATTGGCTGGATGGTCAGGGTTCAATTCCTGGCAGGAGAAAGAGATTTTTCTCCTCTCCATACCTTCCACCCAGCCTCATGTCCAAAGGGTACCAGAGGGCTCTTTCTTTATGGATAAAGTGGCCAGGACTTGAAGCTGACCACTCACCTCCATCTAGTGCCGAGGTCAAGAATGGTAGAGCTATCCCCCCCCCCATGTCTTTATGGAGTGGTACTTAATTAATTAGTCACAGGCCAAACTTTAACTTTTACAGCTTCAATTATTTGCAGATACACTGAAACTTGTCTTTGCTTGCCACCTGTTGTTCCATATAAAATACACTGTACTGTATAACTATTACCTTCATAAATATTCTAGAATCTTTTTACACATGCACATTATGCAGATATCAATTACATGCATAATTACTTTGCTACTAAGAAAGAAGTGCTACAGGAAAGATGTGCATCCAAGCCATCTTCCTTCTGCTGGATGGTAATTCACAATTTCTTTTGGGGAACTGTAATTCTGCACTTGATTGTAGGCTTGAAATCAATTACTTTTATCTTTTCTTTTACAGATGAGATTCCAAGTTCTTGTAAAATCTGATTCAGAGTGACAGCATGGATCTTTGAGGTCATCTCTGGGTATGGGTCTATATAAGCGAAAATTATGCACAACAGTAGGGCACTAACTAGCAGAATTATTGATTTATATTTCTGGATAGACAGATCCAATGAAAGGGCTTTTTTCCAGAACTTATGTCACAATGGATTAAATGTCTGGGGAAAGAGATATGCATGGAATTCCATTCACATATGCCAAATTTATTGTTTATGTGACAGAATACAGACATTTGTAAGAGATAAAGCATAAAAAATTTAGTGCACATAATTACAATAATTTACAGGAAGCAATGCCAACTTACATCATCCTATCCAGGGACTAAAACAGCTTTTCAAGCAATCTTGAGTTGATAATAGATAGTGTCTATACTTAGAAGCATTTAAAAGTAATTTATTTCTTTTCACTGCCTACAGAAGGAAATTTGAGGTATTTGGGGAAAATATCAAACTTGTTCACAAATATACAACATGTGACAAATGAAAATGGGTCAATCCAGTCTGTGTGAAAACTAATACATATTCATATACATTATCTTAGAACAGTAACATGTTACAACATTATGTCCTCAATCATGTTCATTCTCTGTTTGCAGAAATATACTTGTATGCATGGATATTTGTAAACGTGACATGTTCATACAACTTAACACATAATTTCAGTCTTCAAGCTGGTATAGCAACTTTTCCATCTTGAGAGGGAGACAAGTAATCTAGGCACAGCCTTGCAGAAATTTTGTACCATTCTTGTGGTGGTGTTTGGGTTCAAACCCTAGACACTTTACATAATAATCAAGCACACTAACCGTCAGATCACCCAAATGATCCAAGAAACATCAAGAATGAAAATAAGTAAAACAAAAATGACAAAAATTGGCCTAACAACCTGTAACAAACTTACCTACATTCATTTTGCAATGCTTTCAGTAGCTTTGATTACATAGCACTGAATGGTAGGATTATAGTTGAACAACAAATTGGAAAGGATGTGATCATGGACTAATCTGAGATACTTTCCCGAAATTTTCCTGGAAAGACTGAAGAAAACCACAAAAACCTCCATCTGGATAGTCAGTCAGGGGTGTAATTCAAACTGGAAAAAAATTAATCAAAGCTCCATTCAGGGCCATAACAACATTCAAATTCAATCCCTTATGACCAAAACATATTTAGTGGTTTAAATGTTTAAATAAATCTTATCTTAGAATATATTCGCGGATTTTTAATCCTTCTGATGCCCCATGCAAATGTACTCCTGAATGTTACTGGTCCAAGCTATGGAAATGAAGAAAAAAAAAGATGAATATGAGCAATCTGATTTAGATCAACTCCTTACACACAGAACAGGGGGGAAAAAAATATTCATTGTCTTTACTTTTATAACTGTAAAGAGATGAAGCTCTTGTATCATTTCCACTAAAAGGAAAGACATCACATTTCAACTGCACTGTATATTAGTGCTCAATAATACTTGTATAAATATAACCAAAATTAGCTATACAGCAGTGTTCGACTGAAATGAACGAGTTTGTTCTTCTGCCTTATCTTCGGGTCTTGCTGAATGTTGTTAAACCATCTCGAAAGATGCAAGTATTGCTCTTTTTCCTGGTAAGACAACTCGGCCTGTCAAGAGAAAGTATGAAACATGTTGAGACCTGGATATTAAGGTTAGGTCTCCAAAGAGGTTTCTCTCCTTGAAGACTTCTGACCCAAACTTTATAAGCATTTCGTTTCCAAATTTATGCTACGTATAATACTAGTATCTAAACAACACAAATGTTCAAGTATTTATTTATTTATACTTGTCATGTATCAGAACAGAAATGTATGTCACAACAAGAACTTAGCATTACAAAAATTGTGACATGATACTTCACATTATTGAGCATGATGTAAAAGGTAAATCTACTAATGACACTATGGGATTAAGTGCTTACATCTAATTTAAAGATTTTAATAATTAATTACTGATATACTGCCCACACTCAGATGCCATTCTTGGAAGGGGTGGGGGGCAAGAGGAGGAAGATGGGTAAAGAAGCTCACCTTTGTGAAGGGACAAGACTGGCCACCACATACAAGGTATTTATCACATAACAACACAGCTATATGGCATTGCATAATTCACAAGAGAAAATCTTTGTATGAAAAAATGTGTTATCAGCAATGTTGTTCTTAAAATGTCAAAGAACTACATTTAAATGACCAAACAGCAAAGTATTTAACAAAGGCCTGAGATAAGGTCATGGTCATGGTCACTCTGCCCTTTGTCTGCACCAGTTAGTAATAATAACTACAGGTACAGTCACAGCAAAATCTGTTTCCAGTATTTGGTAAAACCACAAAAAATAATTATTCCTCTCACAATATTTTAATTGGTCTTTCAAATTTATTAAGTTATTCACAGTATACTGTGCTACATTCAAAGTCTCGGACCGGTAAGTGGGATTAATCTTAGAAGAGACATGCACAATAGCCTATAGACAGCTACAGCACATGAACTCTTTAAAGCCCATAACTTTAATTTTATCTCATTTAAACAAGAAAAAGTTTATCAAAATGGCAACAATTATGGGTTTGATTTTATAATTCTTTTTCTTTATTGCTAGTGGGGTGGAACTAAGTCCCTTGTACTGTGGCTACTTCTGGCCTATTGTACCAGCTCCAGATGATAGGTGAGGGTGATTGTGGAGCAATTGGTGGAATGAAGATTGGCAGGGAAAACCGAAGTACTCAGAGAAAACCTGCACCAGCGCCACTTTGTCCACCACAAATCCCACTTGATCAGACCTGGGATCAAACCCGGGCCGCCATGGTAGGAAGCCAGCGACTAACCGCTTGAGCTATGGCACAGTCAATAATAACAACAATCAGCATTCAAAAGCTTATTTTTTTTTTGACAGTGAAACATCTATTTTAACAGATATCTAAGTACTATTATTCGGGATGGCTCATTCAATATTGTAACTGGCCATAGCTGGATGACTGGGGTACTGTTCCAAGCAGGGATAATTCTCCTTGTTCCAAAATCCTCACATGTTCAGTTCTTCAGCAAATGCAGCCTCCTCTCCAGCAAGTAACTGAAGCGTTATCCCTGTTTAACCTTACATCTCCATGCCATGATGCTTACTTAAGCACAGAGACACAGTCATGATTTACTTTACAGATAAACGCTTCCCACCAACAAATGCTGTATCACACAAAAACATGACAAACATGCAACAAAACAATTAATACACAATATATAGAATTTGAGTCCCACAAATTACATCTGAATCACACTCTGCTTTGTTTATGTTTCTGTTTCAACTATGAAGGTTACTCTGAATGAGTTAAATTAAAATATCCACAGATGTCACTCACACTGAAATGAAACATGAAAAGTACTGCAGAACTAGGAATAACATGGGAGTACAGAGTTGTGGCATATTCTGAAGTACTACCTGCTATTAAGACTTTAACCAGAATTTGCTAAAAGATGGTAAAAAGGTAAAGCTATCCTTGCAACAGGCTGTGGAGGTCCATAGGGTTGTGAGATGTCTGAGGCTCCCCTATTTTCTAGATAATCAGCTCACAGATGGCAGTAAGGTTGTCAGCCTCATGTGCCAGCTGCAGTTTACCACCAGAAAGATTCCTGGTACTAACTTCTGTTCGAGACTCAGTCAACCCAAGGGCAATAGTGCAGCTGAAAGGATCAGTCAACTGAAAAATCCAATGACCTCATCAGGAATCGAACCTACAACCTTCAGGCTTGTGGTGTAGTGACCAAACCAACTACTCTATTATGGTTTTCCAAACGAAATTCTGTGAAGCAAGATATACTTTGTGATAATATATCTATTTATCTACTTACTGTGAATCTGCTCTATCATGTCAATAAATGTTATTTTAATCCACAACTGAAATTAATTACTTACCATAACACCATGCAAAACATAATACAGCACAATGTCAGCTAGTGTCTGAGAACTGCCTACAAAGTATGACCGCAATGCAAGCACTGCATTCAGCTCCTGAAATAACCATTTCCTTTGCCTGAGAAATATTAATGGCACTCAACATGGAGTATAATTAGAGTATTCTTCATGACAAGATATTAAAGAGTACAAAGGCATGGTCATCTTTAATGACATTCTGACCATACCAAGTTCTATAACAAGCCCAATAATTAATAAAAACATTATAATGGAATGGGCAGATACATGGGTACAATAATTAATAAATGCATTCTTCCTTATTAAATAACGAAATCTTCCAATCAGCCCTAACAATTATTCTCTTTGGTCACAAATACAATGATTCATCTCTCCTCCAAGGAAACCTTCTACATTTTCATTACCTGTTCATATCTGTGGAATGCTGCATGAAAAAGAATAACTATTATTCTTTCCCTTCTTCCTTTTACCTGCAGTCTTGTACATAATCCTGTCATAAAAATCATCAAGAGGGATTAAAAAATACTGGCATTTATTTCAGGTCATAAAGTTCTTATCAGTGCTGTAATTTTATACATGACACATCTCATATATTCGCTTAATTAATGTAACAATAGCATAATATCCATTATTGAAACAGCTAATTAGCAAAATTAAGCATTATGTTAGTTTGGCAAAATTGAAAATAGAAGATATTTGTAGTCAGTACAGACTTCACAGATCTAAGCCAAACATGTACAACATGTCATAAATAAAAGCTTCTTTCCATTCCAAATATAAATATACATCTCAGATAATACAGTATAGTATAAGCACTTCAAGTTATATGTATGTTTTCCCTTTTTTTTTCATGCATCCTGTTGTGTCATAATATACAACTTCTTTATTAAAACAGCCTGATGATGGCTGTAAATAGCCGAAACATGCAGCAGAGCCTAAACTAGGCACTGACCACGATATAGTTGTGCTGTGACGGTTTTAATAAAGAAGTTGTGTATTATATGTATGTGTCCAGCAGCACACACTGTAATTAAAAATGTTTGCTGGAGAACTGAGAATTGGTGGGAGGCGAGTAGACTATTATGCCAAAAGCACTGAAGGAATGCAGAGGCAGAAGGTGGAATTTGGACCAGCAACACAGTCTCTTCTGTACATCTGTTACATGAGAAATCAGAGGCTGGTAGCAACTACACAGGGATCATTCACATACTGTACTGCATAAATCAATCAATTTAAGTAACAGCAATAATACTATTACTTTTGTCGATCTCCAACATTTTAATTGATTCTTATGACAAAATTATGTTTTATTTAAATGATTTCCACTCTCTACAACTTTTTTCTGGAACACAACTGTTGCATAGATTGAGGAGTACCTGTAAATATATCAGAAAAGCTTCATCATTATCAGCACCAATGTTCACTATTTCTATAATTGTTAAGAAGCATTTCAGGAGTTTGTTTGAATTTAGAATTTTTTATTATGTTATCATTTATGTTTGATGACAATGTTTCTTCTTCTGCAAAATATTTACCTGCTTCCTTTTTCAGTTTTTCCAGATTGCTTTTATTTAGTTTTGATACTAATGTCTGTTTATTGTAACGCATGTTTTGCCTCCTAATGACTTGAGCTAAAACTCTGCAATATGTCCTGTACTGAATTTTCATTGCTTGTCTGTTAAGTGAGTGGCTATTTTGGCACAGACTTCACTTATGGCTATATGTTTTGAGCCACTCAGTTGTCCATTGTCTTCAGACACCCTGATTTCCATTTTGGTAAGGAAATTTGCTTAAAAAATTCTTAAGATGTTAAAAAATGTGTTACATTTTGAATCAACATTATGACTGCTTAATACTTACCCCAAATTATGCTTAATATCACATACTGAATAAATTAACAAGTCCTGTTATCACTACAAAATATATTAACTAACACAAGCTTACGTTTTGGAAGAGAAACTTGAGTTATGACGAGAAGAGAAATAAAAATAACAGAAGCTACACATGTGATATTTCCTAGGTCACTGTTGAAGTAACATTATGAGACAGAATATCAAAGGACCTATGGCAAAATGAGAACAACGTACAAAAATTACACTGGAAATAACAAGCACACAGGATGAAAGACAGTATATTGCCAAAATTACCACAGGAGTCTAATTGTATGTATAAGCACAAAGGACAGACAAAGAACATGTCTATGTTGGATTCAGTAAGCCTAACACAAATTTTGTAACATGACTGGTAGTGGATAACATCATATATGTGCATACATATATGGCTAAAATATATGATTATGGATCAGCAGAGTTGACCCACAATATTAAATACCCATGTATTTGCCCAAGAACTAATTTCCATGAGAACTTGGTACCTGTCATTCCTCAAGGCCATGCTTCATGATGCAGTATCACACCATACCTTAAGGACCTGTCGAGCTGTTTGTGCAAGACCCACATAGTTTCCATAACACACAGCATACTCAATCCACTGCCTCACAAGGGCTTCATCTTCTTGTGTCTTTCCAAACTGAGATTTCTTGCACATTTTTGCCCAAGATATTACAATCGTTCCAAAACCAGAAATGGTTTCACTATTGCCATGAAGTTCTGTCACAGTGGTAACCTGTATCAGGGATAATATTCATTTAGTTAATCCAGACATATTCTCCTTCAAAAAAGAACACTCAGTATGAACATGAAAACCAAAATAAAATAAGTACTTACAACTAAGATATAAAAAGATCAGGTGGAAACCAAAATTGTAAGGTTACTTTACTTTATGTTATTTTGTAAAACCTTGAAGTTTGATACTGTTACAGTAATGGTACATTTCAAAACACAAATATGTAAACATATTTAAAATCTCCCATCATACAAAAATCAATGATCTAGCTATAAAGGACATTCACTTGATTATTATAAACTGAGACTTCTGCAGTCAGCATCTTGTTACTTCCAATTTGAATGTCCTGTAGCACTATTATCTTTTTAAAAGACTTAACTAAACTGCAAAAGCATACACAACAATGCTAGTCCTGCATCCCATTACCTATAATTTCAAATTATGAAAATATAGTGAAATGAGTGGGGTGGGAAACACTGTGTTAAAAATTTCAATAACGGCCAGATTTTACACAGGGTTTGAAGCAGCAATCAGGAAATTGTTTTCATTATGGTAAGTTAGCTTGGGAATAGCCTTACTGTAATCGGTACTTTTACCCTAATTATGACAGCACAAAAACCAACCTTACAAAATTAGTTAAGAACATAATAGAGACTTGTTTTGGGAAAACAAAGTTATAAGCTCCCTCATACTGTGATCAATCGCATAAGAAGTGGACTACATAGGATGTCTTTGCCCCAATTTTATCATTAGAGTCACAACATGCTTGAAAAGGAGTTATTATATGCTGCAGGAAAAGAAAGTAGGTGACGTATTCCTCTCCTAACTGATCAACCATACGAATTTAAAGTGACTTCTGCTTTAATTATGTTTCAGTACTGATAATCTTAAAAGAGTCCTAGAAGACGCACTACATATGTGACCAAGAACATGTTAAACAGCCGAAGAATGATATCAAAGATGTAAGAGTATTTACATAAAAAAATGGTAATGCATGCACATAACTTACTATTCCAGTTGAGATTCTCCGTAGTTTGTTTAAACTTGTAAATTAACATGGCTTTGGCCATGGAATTCTATAACCTAAAAATTAATGTAATATGGTCTTACCAGTATACATCGAACCCACTAAAAATAACTGGAGTAAATAATATATTGGCTTAAAATACACTTACCCTTCCACTTTCGTTCGTGGATAGTTTTCCATAGTTAATTTCTAAGAAACTGCCAATTTTCTCAACACACTCTACATTACACAGCGCCATCATATAACGCCTAGAGCATATCACACAAGAGTTTTCGCTGCGAGAATTACCATGGTTCCTACAGATCGATATCGATCCGACAAGCGTACTCGCGAGCAGCCCCGTGGAACTCCCATGTTATTGGTTGGCAACATGGCCGCCACGACCCCCCGGTTCAATGCTGCTGCCATCTATTTTCAGCTTAAACGAATTAAATTTAAAACGGCCTCGAGGACCCAGAGAACAATCGGTAAAAAGGTATGCTACCTTAACAACTATTTTGAGTGCTCCCCCCTCGATCCCCGTTAGAATTCTTTTTTTCGCTTCTTGCAATAAATACTTTTACATCCAGATCTCTTGTATTGCAGTCTCTCTTTCCTTCTGGCTTTCCCACCAATATCATCCTAGCATTCCTCGCCTCCCCCATTGGTGCTACATGCACGAAATATGGTAATGGGGTACCTCACATGGCCGTAAGGATCTACAATGCACTACCTAATAAAATCAAAGTAACTTCTAACGATATAAATAAGTTCAAAAACAATTTAAGGGAATTTCTTTATTTAAATTCTTTTTATACACTTGACGAATATTTTAAGAGATAATGATTTTTATAGCTATATAAGTGTATAAGAGGTTGAGTAATACAATAAATTAATAATCATCATTAATATGAGATAATCATACTTATAATTGAATGTTTTTATATGTTGGATTTGTTGTATATGTTAAACCTATATGACTAAAATATTCTGTTACTTTGACAGAAGCTTTGATCTTAAAATGTTATTTTAAATGACAATTTTAGTGTATTGTACTAGAAAGCAGTTGTATGTGCTGTGACAAACTTGTCATATACAATAGATCTTTTTAACAATTGCTTGATAGGACTGACAAGATAAAATAAACTGGATGATATGGCTTGCCAATATGTGTGGAGTGGCAGGTTGTGGGTTTGACAGTGGTTTTCCTGCCACCTGTGTGTGTTGTCCTGACAGCTTGGGCTCACTATGTGAGGCCTGATTATATGTTTTATGGGAATGGGGACGAGTGATGTGTGGTCATCATGAAATTGTAATTTTGTATTTTTATAAACGTAATGTTTCTATATCTTGGATTTGTTATATATGTTTAAGCTATATGACCAAAATATTCTGTTACCTTTGATGGAAACTTTTATCTTAAATTTTAAGGTATTATGCTAGAGTGAAATTGTATTAAGATGTAAACATACACTGTCTTATTTTATAAGTCTTCTTGACAATTGCTTAAGAGTATTAGCGAGCTAAATTGACACAATTCTGTATCTAAGGCTTTTGCCTATTATAGATGTAATGGAATAAGGAAGAAATAATAATAATAATGCCCTGCCAACCTCATCATCTTCGACTAGTGATATTGAAGACAGTTAAAAAAATCACTAGTCGAGGAGGATGAGGTTGGCAGGGCATGTAGCACGAATGGGGGAGGCGAGGAATGCATACAGGATATTGGTGGGAAAGAGACTACTGGGAAGACCAAGGTGAACAATATTAAAATTTATCATAGTGAGATAGGATGGTATGGTATGGATTGGATTGATCTGGCTCAGGATAGGGACCAGTTAAGGGCTCTTGTGAACAGTAAGGAGCTGTTGCATATAACGTGACGGTTACTGTAACCACGTCTTCGTATGGACGATACATCCATAGTCATGTAACCAGCTGCGAGCGACCCGATCCATAGTGCTCGTGGTGAGCTCGCCATGAAGACATGTCTTCCTCCTTCCTACTCCTGGCTCGGAGGAAACGTACACATTTACGAGCAAGCGATTGTGGCGTCCGCGAGCCTACTGCGAGTCCCTTTGTGTTCGCAGCAAAAACAAAAAAGGCAGTGGCTCGTCGGTCGTGTTACAGAGTGCGCTCGAAGTACGTTCGCGAGCGTGGTTCGAAAGGCGTCCACACTAAGAGAATGTGGTTACAGTAACCGTTACGTTATATGCAACAGCTCGCTAGTGTGTACGCGGCCTAATGAACCTTCAGGTTCTACAAAAGGCTGGAAAATTGGAAAATTCTTGAGTGGCTCCACAATTGGCAGTTTCTCAAGAACGGCTCAGCTGCATAAGTAAGTTTAATATCATTTCACCAATATTCTTTCGGTTGGGTTTGAGTGAAGTTCTATTAAACTTGGTCCCCCACCCTCTTTCAAAAAAAAACAGAATACGAGCCTCTGCAGCTCTGGAGTACAAGAGATTAGGTTGCAAATTATTTATCTGGAGAAAGTTTGTCAGCAGTGCCTGGAAAGTCATAGCCTTTCTTTCACATGAAACACTCCACAAAAGTGAATGTGGGGTGTGCTCTTATGTATGATCAAATCATTGGGCCTTTCTTTTTCGCGGAAAAGACAGTCAGATCAGTCATTTACTTAGATATGTTGCAGAATTTTGTATTCCCGCAAATTGAAGCGCTTCCGCCCGAAATCACTTTCCAAAAAGACGGTGTGCCACCTCGTTTGAGCACCATAGTTCGTTATGCTGTGGACAAACATTTTCCAGGAAGATGGATTGGACGAGATGGTTCAATTTCTTGGCCCCCAAGATCACATGACATAACCCCACTGGACTCTTTCCTTTCGGGATATGTCAAAGACATTGTTTATAAGACGCAGGTGAGACACTGATCAATTAAAAACCAGAGTAAGAGATGCAATAACCACTGTGGATGTCAGTATGCTTGCCCAAACCTGGAAAGAAATCGAATATCGTCTTGATAGATAGCAGAATTGGTACAACGAAAGGGTGGGGCAAGAGCAAATAATGCTATACCAGTAGAATACAAGGAGGGAACGGTGCAGGAAGAGGCCACGTCAGGAAAACACAAGGAGGAAACTGTTCATGAGGAGACTGCAGAAAGCCAAGGGAATGAAGCTGATGAAATATTAGTCGACCCATCCCCCAGCAGTGTGGCACCACTGGAAGGAAAGCAACATCAGGAAATTGGGATGTCAGCTAGGAAAAGGAAGATCCCAGAAAAGCTAAGTAAAGATTTTTATAGATAAGAATAGTACTGACATTCTCAAGAATACCAATAAAATAGGTTCACCCATCCACTTATTACAACAAAATGTTCAAAGTCTAAACAACAAGCCGAACATAGATGTGCTATTATCAAACAAAACGTTAGACTCAGATATACTCTGTATCACTGAATATTGGTGGGATGAAAGAGAACTAGATTATTATAACTTTGAAAACCATTCCTTGATATTAAATTCTGTAGGAAAAGTAAATTGCATAGAGGATCATGCATTTATGTTAAAACAAATCTAGATGCAAAACCCTGTAACCTGTTTGAAAGCTCAAATTAAGAATATTTTGAGGCCAGCATAATTAAACTTATACAATTTAATACTATCATAATCTGTATACACAGAACCCCTAACAGTAATATCAACATATTTATAAAAACATGGACACAATTTTTAGCAATTTGACCAATTAAGGAAAGAACATTACTATAGCAGAAGATCTCAATGTAGATTTTCTAAAAAGAAGTGTAAATCCACTTCCAATCATTTTCATGCTATAACACATAATATACACACCACTGTACACATTCCACATTGTCATTTAACATCACTGCCAGCATAACACCAACGTCAACATGTGTTTCACTTATCATACCACCTTGTTATAAGCAAGAATTCTTCATTCAAACAAGATATGTACTTAAAAGGGGAAACTTTTGAATCCACTGTGGCTGAATGGAAATCTTAACATTCTTCAAAACACTACAATAACTCACTACACATCACTGTATACATTACACATACAAAAATACAATGTCACACTAGAGAATTTAAACTCCATTTTACTCATGACAACACTGTAACCAAAAAAACACACACTATACACACCACTCTGTCACACAGAACTAAGACATAAATTCATAAAATAACTTCTTCAATGGGAACTAGAAATTCACTTTGCACCCTACTGCTACAAGTACTTATTATAAAACAAAAAATATATCATTCTGAATAATAACCTACACACACGAGTAATATTCAGAGGCTATATACCAAAACTTCACCGTTTTCTGTTATACCAAATATGCACTCACAAAATATAAATCACTCCCTATCCATATAACCACTAAAACACATATCTTCCAAACCACTCCACATAATTCACACGATATTATTAATAGTGCAAGAATAACCCCAAAGACACATTGCCTCATTACACACCCACTATTCTTATATTCACTCACTTTCGTTAAATCAATAACTGTACATTATCATCTATTCTTCCTTCACACATACTTCAGTTTCATGGTTCAGAGGGAAAACACTTCCATTTCGTCGTGGAACAGAGGAAACACATGTTTGTAAAATTTCGTGCACTGGCCGTTTCTCGGTCCAGGATAGTACACACATTAACACCTACCATTTGCACTATCTCACTCAATCTTTTAACATACTCGTATACTTTTAGGCAGATAATTAATCACAACTTGTACATATATGTATATAAACATACACTGAACACCATCCTATTATTTATAAATATCTATTCATACCAGTAAAAAAACGTACCTTGATGGTGCACACTGGATATGTAGGTCACAGTGACAGGGCAGCCAACATCTTAATATGACTGAAACAGAAACATTCGAATATCAGTCCGATTACAGGAAGGGAATTTTTCACCCTATCTTTTACCCATTTTCATGTATAATGTTATTCTACTTCCTATCCAGGAAGGGAAATTCGGGCGAAACAAATGCGCAGAAGTCACTGAATTGGTCGCGTATCCATACACGAAAAAGAAGGGAACGATTTCACTGACAACAAAGATTTTTCGTCATAAAGTTATGCCATTGGAGGGCAGCATAATGCCATAATATGTGATATTCAATAATCATTTGTATTACCGTAGGGGATTCGCAAACTCTTGAGGTGGAAGCGGCGTTCTCGACACAATCTAAGCTACCACGTAGCAATATAACCTAGCAATATAACAAAAATAAATTGATATTATGGGTGGAAAAACAGTTAAGACACTCAATTTTATACATAACGTCATATTTCGACTTACATTCCACGTTACGTCAGTCCTATATTACGTTCGATTAAATAGCAGCTTCGTAAATGACGTCACTCGTAGGTATGCGCAATGCACTACTGCGCACCCACCCGTAAACCAGGGGGTTGGCCCTCGGACCGAAGATGCTAGGTTAGGTTAGGTTAGGTTAGGTTAGGTTAGGTTAGGTTGGTCAGATTAGGTTTGCGCAGTAGACTACTGCGCATCCTTCTGTACCTTGGACGGGGCCAAGTTCGGTAATTTATGCTAATGTTAGGTTGTGATTGTACATTATATTACGTGTGCGCAAACGACTTCTGCGCATAGTTATGCTCTGTTAAGAACGGTTTGGCCGTCGGTAATATCTTAGGTTTCAATGTGTCTTATATTGGCCGTAGGCAATATCTTACGTTTGAATGAATCTTATAGCGTAGTAAATCATTATATATTTACACGGGACATTTAATTTCCGAATTTTCTCACGTGATAAAGTCTTGCATATACATTTCTGTTAAACTCTCTACATCATCTATGAAACCCGGAATATACTGCGATATTTATAGTGGACGTAATTGAAATTTTTCCAAAATATTGACAATTCAGAACGCTCTCAATTGCATGATATCACAATTATCTTGATTTACTCTTACAATTTACACAAGTTCCGCTAATTTTCTCTTTTCGAATGTTCCCATTATTAATTTTATTATGATTCTCCAAATATGTAAAGGACATACATATAAATTATAT